ATATATATATATATTTATATAAAATATAAAAAATAAATATGTAAATATGTTAAAAATAAAATGTAAAAAATAATTAAAAATAAATAATTAAAAAATATATAGATGTGTGTTATTTCGTTCTAACTGTATTGTGATATTAATATATATATATATATATATATATACATATATATATATATATATATATAACGTATACACGTATATATCACTATATATATATATATATATATAAATAAAAATATATAAAAAATATATATATATATATATATATATATATATATATATATATATATATATAACATCCAATAAGAAAAGGCTGCTCTCCGGACTTAAAACAAAAGTTTTATTGAAAAAAATAAAAAATGATGACCAACGTTTCGGTCCCTGATCGAGACCTTCCTCAGGGTCAAAGACAACAGGACAACAACAAACAATGTGCAAACTGACAATATATACCATTAATTTAAGTGAAATAACTCACCCAGGTGTTCTATTCTCATTTGCCGCCGGCACCAAGTGAATTTCCGGGTATGCGCGCGCACGTCAATACATGCTCCGCCCCCTCGTCATGCCGCGATATGTGCCGACGTACCCCCGGTCAGATAGACCGATCTCCTTAGCAACCATATATACAAAGACCACTCTTGAAACAAGAGGAGCCTGTATCAGAATAGAGAAATAGATCATAAGAAGTTTTAGTGCCATATACAAGTGATCTAAGTGCCAATCTGAAACAAATTTTGTGGTAGACTCATTATATATCATATACTCCTATCAACAATAAAACCTAGTAAACCTAGGTAAGTGACACCTCATCAAGGTGATAATAACACCACTTACATATACTAAGACTTATCCAGAAAGTGCATGTGCCCAATATAATTAGGTGTAAAATTACACTTACAAATAGTGAATCAAAAATTCATACATATCTCATAATATATTAAAATTTAAAGTGATAGCATGCAAGTAATAAAGTGCATAATAAGTGCTCATAAACAACATATGTGTAATCAAACATATCATGTATATATACAAAAACGGTTTGGCATATTTATAGACACACTTCCATACCCCTGAGAAATTCATTAAAAATAAAGATATTTAAAAACAATAGTGACTAGCTGGTTAAACCTATATAAAAGAATGATACGTGATACTCTCATTAAGACCCATGGGAGACATTGTATTCAGTTGGTGTATCCAAAAAGCCTCTTTCTGAAGCAACATTTTCCCCCTATTACCCCCCCTACGGGGTAGGCGAATATAATCAATACCCACAAATTTGAGGGATGCTAAAGGATGCTTTTTATCAAGGAAGTGTCGAGCAACTGGCTTATCAGACTGGCCATCCCTGTATGCTAATCTTATACTCGAGCGGTGGCCCCTAATCCTCTCACACAAAGGTGTTTCTGTCTTTTCTACATAATAGAGGCCACATGGACACACCAATTTATAAACAACAAAGGGGGTTTTACAAGTAATAGTGTGTCTTATATCGTATATTTTATTTGTATGTGGGTGATTGAATTTCTTTGCTGGAATCATATGTCCACAAGTGATACACCCCAGACATCGTATGCTTCCCCGTATGTTGTGCTTGACTGTTTTAGAATAACTCTTCACAGGGTCTGTGCGCACCAGCATGTCCTTAAGACTCTTGTTTCTCCTGTAACAAATTAATGGGTTCTCTTTGAAAATCTTTGGCAGGGTGTCATCCGTGGCAATCATTTTCCAATTGTCTTTAACAATTGTTGAAATTAAATTAGAAGAATTATGAAACGTCATCGGGAACACTATTCTTTGTACAGGATCCATCTTTGCTTGCACCGGGGCAGATTTTGCCTTCAACAGTGCTTCTTCTAGTACCTGAATACCATAGCCTCTGTTCAAAAACTTCTGGGTCATGATTTTCAATTGTGACTCAGCCTTATTTGTATCAGAATTATTGCGAATGACTCTCTGGAACTGTGCTTTAGGAATAGATTTTTTCAGCGAAATAGGATGTGCACTCCTAGCGTGTAAAAGAGTATTCCGATCAGTTTGTTTTGAAAATAAAGTGTATTGGACTCTGTTACCCCCATAAGAAAGTTCTAAGTCTAGATAATGGACACTTTCATCACTAATATTGGCTGTAAACTTGATAGGTGTCGGCAGTGAGTTTAACTCCTCCACCATCGTATATGCCTCTGTTTGTGAGCCTCGCCAGATGATCAACATCATTCCTGGGCTACTATACAGTCTCAAAGGCAACATAACCTATCTGGCGAATTTCAATTTCAAATGTAACATGCTATATTTGACCCTGTAACTTCCCAAAATGCCATAAAACCTGTACATGAGGGGTACTGTTTTACACATGAGACTTTGCTGAATACAAATATGTGTATTTTATTGCAGTAAAAGCAAACAATATTATGACATTGACAGTTAAAATAAAATAAAAATCTTATTTTCTCCCATTTTTTTCATATTAAATTATGTTTCATAGCTAAATATTTTATATTAAATGAAAGCCCTATTTCCCCTGAATAAATATATAATAAGGGTGGGTGCATTTACTATGAAAGAGGTGAATTACGGTTGGACAGACATGTAGCGCAAATGCCAGGTTTTGTTTACATTTAGTTTTGTTCACAACGTGTATATTTGGCTCAGTCCTTAAGGGGTTAAAAAGTCTGCCAGAATAAAAAAATGTTGTGGTGAATTTAGCACCCTTACATTCAAAGATGCTATTTTAAGCATAACCTTTCATAGTTTAAGCCTCTCTCCATCTCTAGTCTCCATCTCGCAGGGATTATACCAAACAAAAAGCATCCATACTACATATAATACATCACAATGCACACCAACACTTAACCCCTTAAAGACTGAGCCAAACGTACATGTTGTGATCAAAACAAAATGTAAACAAAACCTGGAATTTGACTATATGTCTGTTCAACCGTAATTAACCTCTTTCATATTAAGTGCACACTTATATATATTATTTTATTCAGGGAAAGCGGTGCTTTCATTTAACGTCAAATATTTAACTATGAAACATAATTTAATATGAATAAAATATAAAAAAATGGGAGAAGATAAGAATTTTTTTATTTTTTTTTAGTTCTACATTACATTTTAACTGTGAATGTCATAATACTGTTTGCTTTTACTACAATAAAATACACATAGTAGTATTCAGCGATGTCTCACATGTAAAACAGTACACCCTATCAACAGGTTTTATGGTGTTTTGGGACGTTACAGGGTCAAATCTAGCATGTTACATTTTTCAGGGTTTTTTTTACATTGAAATCCGCCAGATTGGTTACGTTGCCTTTGAGACCATATGGTAGCCCAGGAATGAGAATTACCTCCATGATGGCATACCATTTGCAATGGCTGACAACCCTAAGTATTTCAAATGTGGTATGTCCAGTCTTTTTTAGTAGCCACTTGGTCACAGACACAGGCCAAAGGTAGTGTTAATATTTGTGTTGGAAAAATGCAAAAAAACTAATATGAACGCCAATTTTGGCTAGTGTTTGTGACTAAGTGGCTTCTAAAAAAGACTGGACATGCCCCATTTGCAATACCTTGGGTTGTCTACTATTGCAAATGGTATGCCATCTTGAGGGTAATTTCCATTCCTGGGCTACGAAACGGTCTCAAAGGACACATAACCAATCTGGCGAATTTCAATGTGAAAAAACTGAAACGCAAGCCTTATATTTGACTCTGTAACTTTTGAAAACACCATAAAACCTGTACATGAGGGGTACTGTTATACTCAGGAGACTTCGCTGAACATAAATATTAGTGTTTCAAAACAGTAAAAAGTATTACAGCAATATCATCAGTGTAAGTGCCATTTTTGTGTGAAAAATGCAAACAAATTCACTTTCACTGACAATATCATCATTGTAATACATTTTACTGTTTTGAAACACTAGTATTTGTATTCAGCGAAGTCTTCCGAGTAAAATAGTACCCCCCACATACAGGTTTTATGGTGTCTTGGAAAGTTACAGGGTTAAATATAGTGTTAGCAAAATAAATTCCCTGGACTTTTGGCATGGGTTGTCAAGCAGGTCCCGCAAATTGTAATTAATAAAATGACTTAATTATGTAAAAATATTACATAAAGATATACGTAGAATTACTATATATATATATATACGTATATTTTTTTTAAAATTATTTGTATTTATATATAGGTATATTTACGCACACACACACACACACACACATATATATATATATTTGAGTTCTACATGTATTTTGATATCAATATATATATATATATATATATATATATATATATATATATATATATATATATATATATATATATTAATAACATGAAATTACACGGGGCGTGACCGGAACCTGGAAGCAGGAAGCTATGGCAGTCTAGTGTGTGAGCGTGTAGACCCAGGCCATTTGGAAAAAAACAATTGAAAATTCTGTTTTCACTTGTGCGGTTATATACTATTCACGCTACTCCTATTATTCGAGCAGAAAAGAGATCTGTAAACGGGCGGACGAGCATATAGGAGGACACAGGAGGAGATACAGAGCATACAGAGCGGAGGTGAGCGGAGGTGAGAAGAGAGAAGTAGAAAGAGAAAGGAGGTGATTGGAGGTGTTTGGAGGTGATTGGAGTGGAGGCTGATAGTGATAGCGGGGACTGGAGCAAGGAGGCAAGGAGGCAGAGGCGTAGGTGGTGACTGCAAAAGACTGTAAAAGAGAAAACAAGAGAGAGGGAGACGGAGACACGGTGGAGACACGGTGGGAATAGAAGGCGAGGTGGAGGAGGACGTAAGGCGAGGGGGGCAAGAGCGCGAGATAAGAGCGCGAGATAAGAGCGCAAGACGGAAAAGTGAAAGAAAAGACGAAAAACGGAAAGCAGAAGTAAGAGCAAAGGGGCTAGAAGCACTTTAAGTGCACGGCTCTGTGAGAGGCGTAAAATTAAGGCCTTTCCCTCGACCCAGAGGGAATTAAGGAGACCTGTGATGTCTCGCTCAAGAAAACCGACAGAAGTTAAGGAGGTGAAAGACAAGGGAGCCTTCTTTACAGCCCGAACAACACAAAGTAAGCTTATTGATACAGGAGTTCATGATGGAGCAGACGCTGAGACAGAAGGTGATACAATCTCAGATACAGATATAGATCCTAAGCCTGCCCCTGCCTCTGCTCTTGCTCCTGCTACTAAACAAGTAGAGGCCCTCCTTACACCGAAGCTGTTACAGGAAATGTTGGATAAAGCAGTTATTCAAATGCAGACTGCAGTTGCAACTGCTATTGCAGATTTAAGAGAGGATCTGATTAAATAGATACAAGGACTATACATTTAGAAACAAAGGTAGAGGAGGTCTCTGGAGCCTATGAAGGTTTAAAATCTCGTATAAATGTATTGGAAGATAAAATGTTACTGCAGGACTCCAAACTTATGGATTTTGAAGATAGATCTCGCAGAAATAATATTAAAGTGCGTGGAATCCCAGAAGAAGTGGGGTCGCAGGAGCTCGAGACTTTCATGTTAGAGCTATTCCAATCTGTGCTACCGGATTTCTCACAAGATATGTTTTTATTGGATCGTATACACAGATTAATTAGACCTCAATTCCTGCCGGCTTCTAGCCCAAGAGATGTACTCCTGAGAGTGCATTATTATCATGTGAAGGAACAAATAATGAGGGCTTATAGAGCAAAAGAAAATCGACCAGAGAAGTATAAAGAAGTCCTCTTATTCGCGGATTTGTCATCAGATACCTTAAGATTTAGAAGATCCTTTAAAGATATTATAGAGACACTCCGGGCTAACGATATCAGATATAAATGGGGGTACCCAGCAAAACTGTTTATTATCAGAGATGGAAAGTTTAATGCTGTGTCTTCCCCAACAGAAGGCTCCAGGCTCCTTCAAGAATGGGGTTTAATTCCAGACTCCCCATCTGAAGATCAGTTATTAAGTCATTAAGGATTAACGGCTTACACTTGGCTATCATATGGAAAATAGGAGGAAAACAGGATGAAAACACGAGGAACAGGAGGATGCAGAATACACCAATAGTTTTTAATTTTTTATTTTTTCTCTTCTTCTCCTCCCTTTATATCATGATAGGAGACAGGAGAATGGCGATTCTGGTGACTTGGGAGACTTTGGTGACTCTGGTGACATAACAAGGGTTTGAGACTATTATCATTATTATTATTATTATTATTATTTTTTTTTTTTTCAAACTAAAGTGTATGTTTTGTAAATGAAGAAGAGAAAAAATGAGAAAGGAAAGATGAAAAGTATATAATGTATATAGCGTGTGTAAATAAGAGTAAAATAACGTGTTAAGAATAGGTGAGCGGAAGGGGAGGGGAGAGGAAGTGGAGGGGGAGGAAAGAAGGAGTAAGGAAGAGAGGAAGATCATGATATCAAACATAGGCTATATGTGATAAGTTATTAGATACATAAGTTTAGGAGTAAGTTGAATAAGTCGAAATTATGGGCTTGGAATATGTATTTTTAGATATTTTCCAAGGTATTTGAGTATATTTGGGTTATTCTATCTGGATTCTATGTTATCCTGCTTTATCTTAGGTATGAACAGAAACAGTAATCCTTTATAAACAATTATATATATGTATTTTTAAACAGCAATAAAGATAATAGAGATAAGATTAAAAATAATATTATTAGAGACTGGATATAGCCATACTTGGTCTTGATACGTTAACATATTGGGGAGGGATGTTCAGTAAAGTAACAATTAGGATGTTATTTAATTTAAATTAAAAGAATTTTAGTAAAATAAATATCTAGATAGACTGGATACATTATTAACATGATTATGATTATATATAAAGGGGCATATATGATAAAAAAAAAAAATCATAAGGTCAAAGGCAAAAGTAGGAGCTCAGTGGAAACTAATTGAATTACACTATTTCTGGAATAATGTTAGAATTCACTAGGTAAAGAAATATAACTACCATTAAACATTTAAGAACAAACCTCCTTTAAATTAATAGTCTTTTTAAAAGGCTTATAATCATTAAATAGGAAGTTTATGTATAAGTCCTGCCCACAATCCTTGGCTCCCCTTCCCCCCCCCCCTTTTTTTTTTCTCCTTCTTCTTTTAAAATTATAATACATAAGATATTTGGATGTTAAATTATAATTATGGATAAAAATACCTTACAAGTATTCAGAGGCAGTAAACAATAATATCATAATTAACTATTAAAGCTAATTACTTTAGTTAAAAGAAAAAACGGGGGAAGAAAAGGGAGGAAAAGAAAAGGAAATTAAACAGGTATATCTTTATAATTCAAAATAGAATAACCTTTATTAAAGAATAAGAGCGCATTACAGCTTAGTGTTTTATAAGACCTCGATTATGGAACAAGATGCTTTAAGATATATTAACAAGGTATGCTACTGGATTGTAAAGTATTATAATGCATGTGATATACTAGCTTACCACATTGTCTTGGGGAAACTATAATTAGCATCAAAATAGGGGGTTGGGAAGACTGCTGTGGTATATTTTTGTTTTTCGGTTCTTCCCCCCTCACCCCCCCATTGCCTCCTTTTTTTTTTTTTTTTTCTCTATTGTGATAATTACAGTGAGAACTTAGTGAATTTATCTGGCCCGGGACTGCCTATTGCAAAGCCGGATCCGTTTATATTTTCCCCCAACGAAGAAGTGCCAATAATTGGGCACATATCAATAGAGTTGACCAATTGGGTCTTTTTCTCCCCCTTTTTTTTTTTCTCCTGTTTTTTTTTTATTTTTTATTTTTTCGCATTGATATTTTGGCTAGCATTGTTAAACAAGTGAATATAAGCATAATGAAATTCTACACACACAATGTCAGAGGTTTAAATATACCTCACAAGCGATATGCCCTATTGAAAGAACTACGTAGCCTACAAGCAGACATAATCTGTCTCCAAGAGACACATTTTAAACATAGTTCTAATCCTACAATAAATGCAAAAAAATTTCCGCATCAATACCACGCTACATCTCCAACTAAAAGCAAAGGAGTTTCGTTATTGGTGAGTCAAGCATTGGCATTCGATCAAATATCTGTCCAATTAGACCCACAAGGCAGATTCATTATTCTTATTTGTATATTAAATAATACTACTTATACAATAGTCAATTGTTACTTCCCAAACAAAAACCAGGCAAGCTATATGTCAACCCTTTTAGAAAAAATTGAGAAAGTTCAAACAGGTATTCTAATAATATGTGGAGATTTTAACCATATAATGGACCCTAATGCAGACTCGACAGCTCTTCATACACATAAAAGGGGAAAATCCCTGCAAAAGCAATGTACCTCTCTTAATAAAACACTAGCTTCGTATGGTCTATATGACATATGGAGAATGACCCATCCAGAAGACCGAGAATATACACATCACTCACAAGTGCATAATACCTATTCGCGTATAGATGGATATTTTATGCTTAGTACACATTTGGATCAGGTTAAGAGTTGTGTGATCGGTGTTACAACAGAGTCAGATCATAACCCAGTGATACTCACTCTCTCAGATTCATATCAATACAAAGATAAAAGCCCATGGAGATTAAATGAACAGTTGTTTAATGATTCCACATTTAAAAATTACGCAATGAAATACAGCAATATTTTGAGTATAATGACAATGAAGATACAAACCTGATGGCCCTCTGGCTCGCACATAAGTCTGTAATTCGAGGTACATTATTGAGCAGAGCAACGTATATTAAGAAAACAAACCATAAAACACTAACTACTTTATTTTTTTTTATTTTTTTTTATTTTATATTTCTTTATTTGTCATATAAAATTTTTAACATTTACATATGAGGTACCTCAAAGGGAAGCCTCCAACAAGTTAAGACAGCCATATACAAAAATATATGTTACAAGAACAACCAAAAATTAAACAAACAAACAACGAGAAAAAAAAAAAAAAAAGTAGATAAATAAATAAATAACATCCTCTGAGACTCGAAATGGGGGGAACCACACTATGTTATCTTGAGTTCTGTCTATTTGTCCAGGGTAACCATAATTTGGTCACGTCTCTGATACCGAAGAAAGGGTTTATTTCCATCCTATGTTGATAGTCTATTTGCTCCATAATATTATGCCATATTAATGGAATAGAGGATTTCCATGCCCTAGCTATACATATTTTAGTGGCAAAAAATATATGAGTCAAAAGATATTTTTGATATTTATCTTGCGAAGGAAAACCAATATTAAAGAGAAAAAGTTGAGGGCTGATCTCTCTTATCTCCTTAAAGATAGAGTTAATAAGGCCAAACATTTGAGTTTTTATACTATCAAGACCATGACACTCCCACCATATATGGTAAATAGTACCCTCCTCATTTCCACATCTCCAACAAAACTTAGAGTGGACAGATGATATTTTAAATAATCTAGCCGGTACCATATACCACCTATATATTATCTTTAAATGTGTTTCATAAAGAGAAATGCTGTGTATACAGCGCTTAACTAGGAGTGTAGCTTTAGACCACTCCTGAAGTGAAAAGGGTTCCCCAATGTCTTGTTCCCATTTAATAAAGGAGGTAGCATGAGAGTCTTGTTCCGTTGATTCTAGCACCTTAATAAATCTAGAAATCCCTCCCTTCTTTTTATATAATGCAATAAGGGGATTAACAATGTGGTCCTTAAGTATAGTCCGAGATAGAATAAAATTCTTAATCCTTAAATATTGAAAAAGATCTCTGGAAGAAAGATTAAACTTTTCTTGCAATTGTATAAATGGGATGGGTTTAAATCCATCCCATAAGTCCGAGATCTTCGTTAGGCCTAGTTGTATCCAAGATTGTACATTTATATTATCCATTATATGTTGTAGGACCACTAATGGAACTCTATATAATAATTTGTCTTCTAGCTTCAATTTTTTATTTAGAATTCTAGAAGTAATAATCATATCTATCAATATTCGATTCGAAAAATTCTTGGTATCCAATTCACCCAAATTTAGCAAACCCATCCAAAAAAGAGCGAACAATCCACATCTAGGGCTATCTTCCTGTTCTAGAGTAAGCCATGATATGGATCCCCGTTCCTTATCTAGCCACTGTAAAAGATGAGTCGCCATACATGCTTCATGGATTTTATCAACATCTGGAAATGCTATACCGCCCTTCTGGTAGCTCCTTCGAAGAGTATCAAAAGCTATCCTAGGTGGTTTATTAGCCCAAATACATCTGGAAATCAAAGTTTGAAAACGGTTAAGAATACCTTTCCCCAACCTATAAGGAATCGCCCTAAAATAATAAATAAGTTTAGGTAT